AGGGGACTCTCATACAATGCTGGTGAAAATGCAGACTGGTACAACCACTATGGAAAGCAATACAGTGTTGCCACAAAGAGTTAAAAATTTAACTTCCATTTGACCTATTGATCCCACTACTAGGAATATATCCTAAGAAGCCTGAAACACCAATTTAAAAGAATATATGGACCCCCATGTTCATAGCAGCACTATTTACAATAGCTGAGATCTGCAAACAGCCCATTTCCATCAGTGGACAAATGGATAAAAAAGCTGTCGTACATATACACTATTGAGTACTATGCAGCTGTAAGAAACAAAGATCTCTTATCCTTTGAGACGACGTGGAGGGACCTGAAACAAGCCAAACAGAGAAAGACAAGTATCATATGATCTCCCTTAAATGTGGAATATAATGAACATTACAGTCTTAGAAATGGGATAGTCCCAGAGATGTGGAAGTGAGGTATAGACTGACAATCCCCGGAAAAGGGGGTGGGGGGAGAGATAAACCACAGGACTTATATACATGCATGCATAAACAATGGACATGGACAACAAAGCTGGGGACAGGGCAAGGTGGGATGGGGAAGGGGGATTCAGTGGGGGGAAAATTGGAAACATCTGTAACAAATATAAATTAATTGATTAAATAAAAAGAAGACATAGGGTAGCTGATGGATAATAAAGTGTTACCCATATATATGCTGTCTACAAGAGATCCACCTCATAACAAGACTCACAGAAGATTAAAGAAGGGATTTTTCAAGCAAATGCACATTAAAAAAAAATCTGATGTAGCAATATTTATATCTGACAACACAGACTTCAAAACAAGGCCATAAGAAGAGCCGGAGAAGATCGCTACATAATCTTAAAAGGATCAATTCAACAAGAGGATATAACACTGGTAAACATAATACGCACCAAATATAGAAGCAACAAAATATGTTAAAAATCTTCTTGAGGACTTCAAGGGAGAGATCAATAGCAATATGCTCATAGTGGGTGACTTTAACATGCCACTGACACCAGTGGATAGATCTTCTCGACAAAAAATTAACAAGGACATAGAGTCCTTACAAGACAAACTAGATCACTTAGACTTAATTGATATTACAGAACATTTCACTCCAAAGCAGCAGAATATACATTCTTCTCAAGTGCAAATGAAACATTCTCAAAGACAGACCACTAAGCAAGTCTCTACAAATTCAAGAAGATTGAAATCATATCAAGCATTTTCTCAAATCACAGTGGAATGAAACTAGAACACACTACAATAAAAACACACAAAAACATTCAAGCACTTAGAGGCTAAATAGCATGTTATTAAACAACAAATGGGTTACTAATGAGATCAAGGAAGAAATTAAAAGCTTCCTGAAAGCCAGTGGAAACAAACACACAACAACACAAAATTTATGGGACACAGCAAAAGCAGTCTGGAGAGGGAAGTACATTGCACTACAGGCCTACCTCAAGAAACAAGAAAAATTTCTAATTGACTCTAACCCTACAACTTAGAGAATTAGAAAGTAAACAAAAAGGAAAACCCAGAGCTAGTAGGAGAAAGAAAATAGTAAAGTCAGAGCAGAAATAAATTACATAGAGACCAAAACAACAATTCAAAAGATTAATGAAACAAAAAGCTGAATCTTTGAAAGATAAACAAGATGGATGGATTTTTAGCCAGACTCACCAAGAAACAAAAAGAGAAGACCCAAATAAACAAAATCAGAAATGAAAGAGAATTAACAACTGACATCACACAAATACAAAGGATCATCAAAACATACTATGAACACTTATATGCCAACAAATTGGACATTCTAGCAGAAATGGACAAATTTCTAGAAACATACAGCCTCCCAAAACTGAAACAGGAAGAGACAGAAAACATGAACCAATGAATAACAACAAAGAAAATTGAAGATGTAATTAATAAACTCACTGCAAATAAAAGCCCAGGCTCAGATGGCTTCACAGAGGAGTTTTATCAAACATTCAAAGATTTAATACACATTCTCCTCAACTATACCAAAAAATCCAAGAAGATGGAACACTTCCAAACTCATTTTATTGCACAGCATAATCCTACTTCCAATACCAGATAAAGACACTGCAAAGGAAAAAACTACAGGCCAATATCCATGATGAACACAGATGCTGAAATTCATAACAAAATATTAGCAAATCGGATCCAGCAATACATCAAAAACATTATTCATCATGACCAAGTAGGATTCATCCCAGGGATGCAAAAAATGGTACAATATTCTCAAATCAATAAATGTGGCACACCACATAAACAACATGAAAGATAAAAACCATGTGATCATATCAATAGATACCAAAGAAGCATTCAACAAAATCGAGTACCCATTTCTGATAAAAACACTAGCAATGTGGGAAAAGAGGGATTGTATCTTGACATAATAAAGGCCATATATGAAAAACCTACAGCCAATATCATACACAATGGGCAAAAACTAAAAGCATTCCCCTTAAGAATGAAAAAAGACAGGGATGCCCACTTACACCATTCTCATTCAACATAGTACTGGAGATCTTAGCCACAGCAATTAGACATGAAGAAAAAATGAAAGGGATCCAAATTGGAGAAGAGGAAGTTTAACTGTCATTATTTGCAGATGACATGATATTGTACATAGAAAACCCTAGGACTCCATCAGAGATCTTGTAGACTTAATCAATGAAGTTGTTAAAGTAGGAGGATAGAAAATTAACACCAAGAAATCGACAACATTCTTATACACCAATGACAAACTCACAGAAAGAGAAACTAAAAATAAAAAAATTCAATTCATCATCACAGCAAAACAATTAAGATACCTAGAAATAAACTTAACCAGAGAAATAAAGGACTTCTTCACTGAAAACTACAGGTCATTAAAAAAAGAAATAAAAGAATATATAAAAAGTGGAAGCACATACCTTGTTCATGGATTTAAAGAATTAACATCATTAAAATGTCCATATTACCCAAAGCAATCTATGGATTCGATGCAATCCCATCAAAATACCAATGACATATTTCACAAAACAAACACTTCACAAGTTTATATAGAACCAAAAAAGACCCCAAATAGCCACAGTAATTTTGAAAAAAAAAAGAAAAAAGTAGGAGGGATCACATTACGAGATATCAGATTATACTACAAAGCTACTGTAATTGAAACAGCCTGGTTCTGGCATAAGAACAAACAAATAAATCAATGGAACAGAACAGAGAACCCAGAAATTGACCCAAGACAATATTCTCAAATAATATTTGACAAAGATGGCAAGAGCATACCGTGGAGTCAAGACAGTCTCTTCAATAATTGGTGTTGCAAAAATTGGACAGCTACTTGCGAAAAGATGAAGCTAGATCACCAGCTTACACCATACACAAGAACAAACTCAAAATCAATAAAAGAATTTAATGTAATTCGGGAATCCATAAAAATTCTAGAAGAAAATGTATGCAACAAAATTTCAGACATATGCAGCAGAATTAAATAGGCAGCCACACCTAAGGCAAGAGAAACAAAGAAAAAAATGAACACATGGAACTACATCAAACTAAAATGTTTCTGCATGGCAAAACAAACAATCATCAAAATGGAAAGAGAACCCACCATATGGGAGACCATAATTTTCAATGATGCATCAGATAAGGTATTAATTTCCAAATTATATAGAGTACTCATACAACTCAATAAAATGAAGACAAAGAACCCAATTAAAAAATAGGCAGAGGAACTAAATAGACATCTCTCCAAACAGGACATACAAATGGCCAAGAGACATATGAAGAAATTCTCAATGTCACTAATCATCAGAGAGATGCAAATTAAAACAACTATGAGGTATCACTTCACACCCCTCAGAATGGCCGCTATCAACAAATCATCAAACAAGTGTTGGCAAGGATGCAGAGGAAATTCTAGTATACTACTGGTGGGAATGCAGACTGGTGCAGCCACTATAGAAAACACTATGGTATCACCTCAAAAGTTAAAAATCGAACTTCAATTTAACTCAGTGATTCCACTTCTAGGAATATACCCTAAGAAGCCTGAAACACCAGTCAGAAAGAATATATGTACACCTATGGTCATAGTAGCACTATTTACAATAGCTAAGATCTGCAAACAGCCCACGTTTCCATCAGTATTTGAGTAGATAAAAAAGCTGTGGTACATGAACACAATGGAATACTATGCAGCTGTAACAAAGAAAGATCTCATCATTTGAGATGGCATGGAGGGGCCTGGAGAGCATTATGCTAAGCAAAACAAGCCAAGCAAAGAAAGACAAATATCATATGATCTCAGTTATTTGTGTAATATAATGAACTAAAGAAACTGCTGAACAAAATTAATCCAGAGACATAGAGGTGGGGTACAGTCTGACAAGCCTCAGAGGAGGGGCAGGTTGTGGGGGAAGAGATAAACCACAGAACTTACATGCATATATGCATGACCAAAGAACATAGACAACAAAGCTGGGGATGGGGCAGGGGGAAGGGGAGGAGGGTGTCATTGGGGGAAAAATGAGAAACATCTGTAACAATAACAAATTAATAAATAAAAAATAAAAAAAGGAAAATTCATTTTCTTAATGTAATTACCATGGCAATATGGCACAGATATTTATTAAAATGTCCATTATCCAGAAAAACTGAGCCTATTCAGTTTATATTTATCAATCTCATGTCCATAAAATACAAATCTATTTTTTTCAATCTTTAAAAAAATAAAATAAAATAAAATTCATTGTCTTCAACTCAAAATCTATGTCATTCTTAAACTCTCAGTTTGAAAGCTCTGTAAAGCCACAGTATCATGCAGTGCCCTATGGTTTCTGTGTTTTTAAAATAAGCCAATGAGTCTCTGGATTAGGGGAGCTGTACTCACACAGGACGTGAACTTTTCCAGCCTCACTACCTCGGGAAGGCAGCAGCAGGCCCTGTGACCCACCCTGATGATCTAAGTCACTTCTTCTTCCAGGAGAAAGTGGAAACTCAGAGGCACCGCTTCAGGTTGGAGTTTGAGAAGTACCGCGGTTTCCTAGCCCAGGAGGAGCAGCTGCAGCTGAGACGACTGGAGCAGGAAGAGCGCTCCACATTACAGAGACTCCGTGAAGGCCAGAGGCAGCTGGCGCAGCAAGGCAGGACCTTGAGGGAACTGGCCCAGGAGCTAGAGGACCTCTGCAGGCGCCCGGCCTTGGGTCTGCTGGAGGTGAGGTCTCAGAGGGCTGCGACACTCACAAACACATGGAAAGGACACCCTCAAAATCACTTGAAGTGCATCAGAATCAGAGGATCCTCTAGAATCATATAAAATAGTTTACAATGAAAAGAAATACCTAATATTTAAAAATTAATTAATTTAATGATTTGTGTAACATTAAACAGAAAAAGGACAGCCTACACTATGTTAGCTTAAAACACTTCTTAAAACCTCACATATGTCAATAACTATATTGCTGTTTTCAGTGATGGCCAATTCAGAACGTCTTTAGTAACCTGCCTCAGGCAATAGCCAAGCACATAAATACATTTTAAATTGTTCAGGTTGGAATTTTCTTGTTAAAATTTAAGGCAAATAGCCATATTGCATGCCTGTTCCAGGCACAGTGGCAAGTACATGGGCTCCATGTAGCTTGCTTGCAATCTATGTGGTATTATAGAATAGACAAATAACAGGGAGAAGGAAATATTCGTTTTAATCTTTCATGAAGGCATTATTCCAGATGAATTGGGAATGCCATTACTGATGCATGCATGTCATCTGATAGAACCACTGGAATAGAAAGTTCCCAAGCATACTTTATTCTATCTCATTCCCACTGACTTTAGAGATTTCTAAACTAAGTGATTCATATCCTCACACAGGTACAGTGATTAAACACAGTGTAGGTCATTAAATGAAGAATTTACAAAGCATTTATATTTCATTTTACCCATTATGTCTTCAAAATATCTATAAGTAAAAGTATTATTGTTATTGCTATACCTATTTTCTTGTAAGTAAACTGAAGGTCAGAAAGAATTTTTTAATTTAAATTTTAGACAGTAGGTAAACATAGAACTTGAGCATTGTTTTAAAAATTCTCATGAGGTTTTTTTTATTGATTTGGAAAAGAGAGAGAGAGAGAGATGTGAGAGAGTTGCCTCCCCTATACTCTTAACTGGAATCAAACCCTCCACCTTTTGGTGTACAGGACAATGCTCCAACCAACTGAGCCACACCAGCCAGGGCGGAACTGCAATATTTTTAATAGCATTTATTATCTTATCATATCTCAAAACACAATTTATTTAAAATGAGCTTCATTAGCACTAAATTAATGTTAAAATGATTTATAATACAAATCTTAGGAAGACATAGTCAAATAATTTATTTTTATTTTCATCCTCACCTTTCTCTTTTTCCCCCTGTATCAATAAGCAACATTTTACATACAATGGCTAAGAACAAGGTCTACTATAAAAGTAAACTTAATCATTTTTCTATTTTATATGAATTAATCTGATAGGTAAACATTTTTAGAGGGAGAGGCGAAATATAATATAATTGATTTATTAATAATTTACTTTGAGATAAAATGGTGCTAGATATAAATGACTTCTGTTTTTATTCACTTAGGGAACCTGTTCACATATGAGTCCATAGATATGGTGTCTTGGTTAAAAGAATGAGGAATTTAGGGTTTTCTTACAGAGACATTGAGAGTAATGTTTTATGTCTATACCTTTTTCACTGTTTCTTAAACACATTCTGAAGATATTTAAGATCTTTTTCTATGAAAAAAAATCTTAATGTTGACATTATTGCAGGTATTTCTACTTTCCCCTTTATTACACACATTTGTTGCAGAACATAACTCTTTATTAAAATATCAAAATTTCAGAATTATCAATTTGGAAAATAGATAATTGGTAGATATTATAGGAATTAAGCTAAACCTTGTGTATCCTGATTTTATTTCATAGAGAATAATTCATGAGAAAATTCAACAACAGCTAAGTTTTGTTTTTTATTGTGTTCTATACTTTATTTTAATAGTTAATGATTTTCAATGCACTCAGCTCTCATTTATCACGGTTAAACAGTTCCAGACTCTACCGCAATAAATGAACTTCCACAAAGTAGGATTCTTTATTGACTATACAGTCATCCCTCGCCACTTCGTGCTTCAACTTTCACGTAACAATTGTAATTACTAAAGAGATGTTCATGGTCTGTCCTCAGTCTGTCAAAAGCAGTTCTGATGTCAAACTCTCACTTGCTTGTATTTCTCTTTTACTTCCAGGGGGTGAGAGGAGCCTTGAACCGGTATGTTTACTTTCTGAATGAGAGCATGGGTTGGGAGAAGCCAAGGAGGTTGGTGGGTGTTGAGAACTGTGGGTTCTGTGCTCTTCTCAGATGTAAGAGTGTCACTCGGCCTAAACTAGAGACCATCCCCATGGAGCTGAAGACAATGTGTCGAATCCCTGGAATGAGAGAAATGTTGAGGAAGTTCCAAGGTAAGTTGCACCTTAGAGCTTGAGGGGCAGTGGTATTTGGGGTCAGGCTGCTCCAACACCAGTCAGGTATAGTAACAAGCAGAACTCAAACTTTAGTGACTAAAGTCAGCAAATTTTTTTTTAAAGTCACATTGTTTGCTTGTTATTGGATTGCGAAGATTTGGTTTCACATCATCTCACTCTGTGGCCCATGCAAACAGAGCCCACCTCCTTCCTATTGCTGGTAGTTATGGGGGTGGGGGAGGTTATAGTGAACCAGGCACTGCTCCTAAAGGCACACCTACTGTGGTGATACATGTGGCTTTCCTGATGATGTTATTAATGGCAATGTGTCCCATGGCAATGCCAAACTATAAGGGGATGGGACAGAGCACTGTGACCATAGGAAAGAGGACTAGGATGTAGGTGAACAGTTCTGATGCCATATAAGCAGTATTTGGTTAGAATAGTGCACTCAGTAGTTGTGATAGGAGTACATTAGTTCCAATAAATTTGCATTTTCTTGTTTATAAAATACTAAAACAGTATAATTTGAAGGACTAGATGAAACATGTTTAAAAACAGAAACAAAAGCATCGATATAAAAAGCATTGTAGAGTATCAAATAATAAGTTTAGTTTACTTTATTATCTGTCAATGTGATGAGTTGTTTAAATTGGAGAATTAATAAAGCCAAAAATATTCAGTCAATTATTTTTATGTAGAAATAACTGTGGTGTCATAAATTAAATGGTTTCATCTGATTATGTTATTCTTTACAATAGTACAGATTCATTTTTTAAATTTATTTTTTAATACAACTTATACCAAGTAATTAAAATACATTATGACTATATAGTGGTTTCACTACTTAATGGGAAGCAGAGTTGTCCCATAGTGATTGATGTGGGGAGTTGGGGTAGGGATAGCTGGAGGAGGGTATAGGGGAGATAAATGGTGATGGACAGAGATTTGTCTTGGGGTGGTGAACACACAATACAGTGTACAGATGATATGTTGTAGTATTATGCACCTGAAACCTGTATAATTTTGTTAACAAATGTTACCCCAATAAATTTCATAAATAGGAATAAATAAAAATAAAGACATAGATCTTCTTGGATCATAGAAAATAGAACATATTGTTGAATGAAGGAAGAAGGCTATAAAAAGTATAAAATCACATTAAAATAATTCCATTTATGCAAAATACATATACATAGAAATATAATAATTGTTATCTGAGAGATGGGACTTGTTGTAATTTTTACTTTGTTTACATTTCTAATGTTATTAAAATTTTTTATAATAAAAATATAAAGCTCAGTTATGCTCCCAAAAAAGTAAAAGAAAACCCATCATTAGCAGTTGTGTTCAATGATTTAACCCATGTTATGATAGGGCAAATTCATATATATCAACTGCATAAATTCTTGCAATTATTACACTCTCAGAACCCATGTCCTCATATTCCCAATGCTATTTATAGAATTAAATAATCAGTGAATCAATTCAACAAATAGTATTATCTTTTTTATGCCAACAACTTTTCTAAGTTTTGAAAATACCATTGAACAACAACAAGCATGCTACAAATCCCAGCTTCATGTTACCAATATATACTTAAATTATTCAATATTCAGGAAATGTTAGAATATGATACAAAATATTTAAAACAAAGAGAAAGATAAGGGTGACCAGAAGTTCTGGGAGTAGGGCACCTACTTTTGAATTTTGTGATGGAGGAAGACCTTACCCAGTAGGAGATAACTTAGCAAACATCTGATCTGAGGATAATCCTTCCAGAGGAGGAAGTATGGAAAATATCTTTCAGGACCTGTGAGGAGGCCTGTACTGCAGTAAATAGGCCTGTAAATAGGGCATGGATCAGGATACTTTTCCTCTAAGTGAACTAGGGAATTAAGTGAACAGTCAATAGTAAGTGGAAGAATAGCATGATTGAAAATCACTCTGTATGCTTTACTAGAATCAGTTAGATAGGGGAAAGTCTTGAGGTGGGAAAAGCAGTTAGGACCATTGCAGTACTTCAGTCAGAGTTGATTATGGACTGTACTGAAAGTGCTTAGAAATGGACATGATTTGGGCATATTTTGAAGATAGAGCTGTGAAGATGAGCTGCTCAATTAGACATGAGATGTTAGAGAAAGAGAAGACTTATTAATGGTTTCCGGGTTTAATTCTCCATTGACATAGTAAAGCTGCCATTTTCATTGACAGTACAACTGCAGGTAAGACATAAAGAGAGAAACTGCATTTTGGACATATCAGTATGTAAAGAATGTTAAATATCCAAATGGGGATATCAGGTCATCAGATAAATTTACATATCTGGAGTTTCAGGAGAAGGGTTTATGCTAGAGCTATGCATTTGAAATCAGCAAGCATATGATTGAAATTTAATTAAAGCACTGAGCCAGCCAGTCCAAGAACATATGGGAGTGAGATGATAAAGAAAAGGTCCCAATCCTGAGACCATTAGCTTTTCCAGGGGTTGTGATGAAAAAGAAGAGGAGAAAGCTGCAAATGAGACAAGGAAGGGATGGTGAGTGAAGAGGGAGAAAAAGTATAATGACTGCTGTTTGGAAAAGAGAAGGGAGGTTTTCCAGGACAAAGATTTTATCAACAATGGTGAGTGCTACATAAAGGTCATTTAAGATGTCCATCTATTCACAATTTTGGAAGTCATTGACAAGATGGACATGAGAGATTCAGATAGGGTATAGTTCTATCATCATGAGGTATTGAGTTTAAGAGATAAGGGGTAAAGAGAGAAATTGGAGACAGACTATTAAAAACCACTGCACAGATTTCTTTTCTTATAAATGAAACAATGAAAGCTGCTGAAGCAGGAATGATGTGTAAGACATAACATGTTTAATAGTCTTAACAATCACAGAGACCCACTTTCATAACCTGCTATTCACAGTTTCTAGAGTTTGGGAAAATAATCACATGTAATCTTTGATTCTGAGTCTCATCATCTATAATGTAAGGATGATAATAGCCACCTTGAGGTGATTTTATGGGTCAGCATAGATGGTGTGCTACCTGTGTAACACACTCAGGAATGAATATTAACAAAAGATCACAAGAAGTGATTTACAGGCAAATAAGGATAGCAATCATAGTAGTAATATTTGTTACTATGATTTAAAAAATAAAACTATATTAATGAAATTTACTATTTTTGATTGTTTATAAAGAGCAAACACTGAACATTTTACATTCATTCTTCCTTCTTTACTGAGGAGATTTCATATGTAGATTTACTTACTAATTATGTGTATAAGTAAAATTTCACATCAATCTTGTTGGTACTTCCCAGTATCAGTATCTGTGTCCCATTGCTTTCTTAAAAAAAATTGCCACAGACTTAGCTGCTTAAAACCACATGCATTTATTAGTTCAGTGTTCTATAGATGAGACTTCTAGGTGGGGTCAGCTGGCTTCTCTGCTTAGGGTTTCACAAGATCAAAGTCAAGTTTTTGGCCAGGCTAGGCTTCGGGGGAAGATCTGGGAATAATTGCTTTCAACCTTACTTAGGTTGTTACATAATGCATTTCCAGGTGTTTGTAGGTCTGAGATGCTCATTTCTTTGTTGACTATCAGTTGGAGGTCACCTGCCTTTCTTCTCATGAAGTGCCCCAATCCATCTTTAAAGCCAGCAATGACAAGTCAAATTCAAATTTTTATTTTTCTGCCATCAGCCCAATAACCAGAGAAACCTCCCTAAATTTTAAAAAAGGTTGATGTGATGATATTTAGACCCACCCAGATAATTTCCCTTTTGAGTATCACCAGGGTATGAAGGTCATGGGTTCTACCTCAGAATTCTACCTATCAGTAACATAGCTTTGAAAGTGGTGGATTTTATATTAATGACTTTTTTTTATTGATTTTGAGAAGAAAAAGCTACATTAGAAGTAGTTTTAAAATTTTATTTTAAATTTAAGATATTTCTAAGAGCACCCAACTTTTGGGGTATAGACAAGAAGACACTAAGTGGTTATGCACTTGTTTTGTGATAGCATCAGTGGTTATGTTTTCAATGGGGGCAATAATGAGCCCTGGAAGAGGTATAGCAGTAGAATACACCCAAAGGTAATGAAAAATATTCTCATTGACCTGCAAGGTAAAATACTCAGTGTTTACTCTAGGAGTTGTTAGAGAGAGAATGAGGAATGATGTAATCATTCTCTTCAGTATAATGGCTTCATAAGTATTTACCAGCCTTTTCCATGTCCCACAAAATTTTTTTCTGCAGTTGACATAAAGCTGGACCCTGCCACAGCGCATCCTAGCCTCCTCTTGACTGCTGACCTGCGCAGTGTGAAGGATGGAGAACTGTGGAGGGATGTCCCCAACAACCCTGAGCGATTTGACACGTGGCCCTGTATTCTGGGTTTGCAGAACTTCTCATCAGGAAGGCATTACTGGGAAGTCATGGTGGGAGAAAGAGCAGAGTGGGGTTTAGGAGTCTCTCAAGACACGGTGCCAAGAAAGGGGGAAACTACACCATCTCCTGAGAATGGAGTCTGGGCCATGTGGCTGCTGAAAGGAAATGAGTACATGGTTCTTGCCTCCCCATCAGTGCCTCTCCTCCACCTAGAACGGCCTCGTCACATTGGGATTTTCTTGGACTATGAAGCAGGTGAAATCTCTTTTTATGACATCACAAATGGGTCTTACATCTATACATTCAGCCAACTGTTCAATGGTGTTCTCCGACCTTACTTTTTCATCTGTGACACAACTCCTCTTGTCTTGCCACCTATGACTGAAGCAGAGTCAGGAAATAGTGCACCTAGCAGTCATCCTGACCTTGCTTCTAATGTTACAGATGATTATTACTAAAATTCTGTCCCAAGATACACCCCAAGTGTACCAGTTTCCTGGAGTGGAGCACATACAAATGCGAGACCTCAACGAATGCCCCCATTTAGGACAGCACTTTACTCATTGTTGCTATGGAAATTTTCCCATAGGGACAAAATACAAAATATTTGCATTTGGAGGAGCATTGTGAAACATAATAGTATTAGAAATAGAATAGTCTCATCACTGTTTATCCAGATGGCCCCACATGCTTTCTCGATGAGTCTTTTCAAATGAATAATTTTTGTATTAAACAAATTCATATTAATTCCTCATCCCTTTCAATATCTTTTTATTTCAAGTCTTCCACATATTAACAATTAGAAATGGCAGTTCTTTTCAACTGATTTTATTTTTCAATTACAGTTTATATATAATATATTAGTTTCAGGTGTACACCCAGTGATTAGACATTATGTAACTTACTAACTGATCATCCCAATAAATCTTGTACCCATCGGACACCATACATAGTTATTAGAATATTACTGACTGTATTCCCTATGCTGTTCTTTACATCCTCATAACTATTCTGTAACAATGAATTTATACTTTTCCATCCCTTCACCTTTTTCACCCATCCTCCTGAACCCCTCCAATCTGGCAATTGTCAAAATGTTCTCTGTGTCTGAGTTTATTTCTCTTCTGCTTGTTTGTTTATTTTGTTTTTTTAGATTGAATTTTTTTTTTTAAATTGGAAAAATTAACATTTTTATTGATTAATTTTTGTTACAGATGTTTCTCCTTTTCCCCCCACTGATTCCCCCCTCCCCCTCCCTCCCTGCCCCTTCCCCAGATTGTTGTCCATGTCCATTGTTCATGCATACATGCATATAAGTTCTATGGCTCATTCCTCCCCCACCTCCCCGCTTTTTAGGGGATTGTCAGTCTGTATCTCGCTTCCACGTCTCTGACACTACCCAATTCCTCAAAATGTTATGTTCATTATATTACACAAATAAGTGAGATCATATGAAAATTGTCGTTCTCTGTTTGCCTTGTTTCACTTAGGATGATACTTTCAAGGTCCCTCTATGTAGTCTCAAAGGATAAGAGATCTTTCTTTCTTACAGCTGCGTAGTACTCCATTGTGTATATGTACCACAGCTTTTTTATCCATTCGTCTACTGATGGACACTTGGGCTGTTTCCAGATCTTAGCGATTGTAAATAGTGCTGCTACAAAGATGGGGGTACATATATTTTTTCTGATTGGTGTTTTATGCTTCTTAGGGTATGTTCCTAGAAGTGGAATCACTGGGTCAAATGGAAGATCAATTTTTAATTTTTTGAGGTGAGACCATATTGTTTTCCATAGTGGCTGCACCAGTCTGCATTTCCACCAGCAGTGCACTAGCGTCCCCTTTTCTCCACACCCTCTCCAACACTTGTTGTTTGATGATTTGTTGATGGCGGCCATTCTGACAGGTGTGAGGTGATACCTCATTGTTGTTTTGATTTGCATCTCTCTGATGATTAGTGATGATGAGCATTTCTTCATATGTTTCTTAGCCATTTGTATGTCCTGTTTGGAGAGGTGTCTATTTAGTTCCTCTGCATATTTTTTAATTGGATTCTTTGTCTTCCTTTTGTGGAGTTGTATGAGCACTCTATATGTATTGGAAATTAACCCCTTATCTGATATATCATTGGCAATTATGCTCTCCCATGCAGTGGGTAGCCTTTCCGTTTTGATGATTGTATCTTTCGCTGTGCAGAAGCTTTTGAGTTTGATGTAGTCCCATATGTTCATTTTCTCCTTTGTTTCTACTGCCTTAGGTGATGTGTCAGTAAAAATTCTGCTGCATATGATGTCTGAGATTTTGTTGCCCACAGTCTCTTCTAGGATTTTTATGGATTCATGAGTTACATTTAAGTCTTTTATCCATTTTGAGTTTATTCTGGCGTAGGGTGTAAGTTGATGGTCTAGTTTGATTTTTCTGCAAGTAGCTGTCCAACATTTCCAGCACAATTTATTAAAGAAGCTGTCCTTACTCCACTGTATGTTCTTGCCACCTTTGTCAAATATTAATTGAGCATATTGCCTTGGGTCCATTTCTGGGTTCTCTATTCGGTTCCACTGGTCTATATACCTGTTTTTGTGCCAGTACCAGGCTGTTTTGATTATGGTGGCTTTGTAGTATAACCTGAAATCTGGTATTGTGATCCCTCCAACTTTGTTCTTCCTTTTCAAGATTGCTGTGGCTATTCGAGGCCTTTTTTGGTTCCATATGAACTTTTGAAGTAATTGTTCTAATTCTGTGAAGTATGCCGTTGGTATTTTGATGGAGATTGCATTGAATCTATAGATTGCTTTGGTTAATATGGACATTTTAATGATGTTAATTCTCCCAATCCATGAACAGGGTATGTACTTCCACTTTTTTATATCTTGCTCTATTTCTTTTTTCAAAGACCTGTAGTTTTCTGCGAATAGGTCCTTTATTTCTTTGGTTAAGTTTATTCCTAGGTATCTTAATTTTTTTGCTGCAATGGTAAATGGGATTGTTTGCTTAGTTTCTCTTTCTGTGAGTTCATCATTGGTGTATAAGAATGCCATCTATTTCTTGACGTTAATTTTGTATCCTGCTACTTTGCCAAATTCATTTATTAAGTCAAGTAAACTTTTGATGGAGTCTTTGGGGTTTTCTATGTACAGTATCATGTCATCTGCAAATAATGACAATTAACTTCCTCCTTTCCAATTTGGATCCCATTTATTTTTTCTTCCTGTCTGATTGTTGTGGCTAAGACTTCCAATAATATGTTAAATAGGAGTGGCAAAAGTGGGCATCCTTGCCTTGTTCCTGTTCTTAAGGGAAATGCTTTTATTTTATGCCCATTGATATGATGTTGGCTGTCTTTCATATATTGCCTTTATTATGTCTAGATATGATCCCTCTATTCCCACACTGCTGAGCATTTTTATCAGAAATGGATGCTGGATTTTGTCGAAGGCTTTTTCAGCATCTATTGATATTATCATGTGGTTTTTATTCTTCCTTTCATTTATGTGCTGTATTACACTTATGGATTTGCGAATATTGTACCAGACTTGCATCCCTGGGATGAATCCCACTTGGTCATGATGGATAATTTTTTGGTGTATTGCTGGATTCGATTTGCTAGTATTTTGTTCAGAATTTTGGCATCTATGTTCATCAGGGATATTGGCCTGTAGTTTTCTTTCTTTGTTGTGTCTTTTTCTGGTTTTGGAATTAGAATTAGGCTGGCTTCATAAACCAAGTTTGGAAGTCTTCCTTCTTTTTGAATTTTTTGAAATAGTTTGAGGAGAATGGGTATTAGTTCTTCTTTGAATGTTCGGTAAAACTCCCCCATGAAGCCATCCGGGCCTGGGCTTTTGTTTGCTGGGAGACTCTTGATTACATCTTCAAATTCTTCTGTTGTTACTTGTCGGTTCATGTTTTCTATCTCTTCCTGGTTCAATATTAGGAGACTATGTGTTTCTAGAAATTTGTCCATTTAGCTTAGATTGTCGAATTTTTTTCCATGTAATTGTTCATAGTAGTTGTTAACGATCTTTTGTGTTTCTGTGGTGTCAGTTTTTATCTCTCCTCTTTCATTTCTGATTTTATGTATTTGGGTTCTCTCTTTTTGTTTCTTGGTGAATCTAGCTAAGGGTCCATCAATCTTGTTTATCTTTTCGAAAAACTAGCTCTTTGTTTTATTGATCCTCTGGATTGTTTTTTTGGTCTCTATGCCGTTTATTTCTGCTCTGATCCTTACTATTTCCTTCCTTCTACATGCTCTGGGGTTTTCTTTTTGTTTGCTCTCTAGTTCTTTAAGTTGTGAGGTTAGATAGTCTATTAGAAATTTTTCTTCTTTTTTGAGGTAGGCCTGTAGTGCTATGAAATTCCCTCTCAGAACTGCTTTTGCTGCATCCCATAGATTTTGTGTTGTTGTGTTTTCATTTTCATTGGTTTCTAGGAACTTTTTGATTTCTTCCTTGATCTCCTCGGTGACCCATTCATTGTTTAATAACATTCTATTTAGCTTCCATGTGTTCAAATGTCCTTGATTGTTCTTCTTGCAATTGATTTCTAGTTTCATGCCACTGTGGTCTGAGAAGATGCTTGATATGATTTCAATCTTCTTGAACTTGTAGAGACTTAGTTTGTGCCCTAACATGTGGTCTGTCTTTGAGAATGTTCCTAGTGCACTTGAGAAGAATGTGAATTCTGTAGTTTTGGGGTGTAATTCTCTGTAGATATCTATTAAATCCATTTGGTCTAGTGCTTCATTTAGAGTCTCTGCTTCCTTGCTAATTTTTTGTCTAGATGATCTATCCAGTGATGTGTGTGGGATGCTGAAGTCCCCTGCGATGATTGTATTGCTATCGATTTCTCCTTTGAACTCCTCATATAGTTTTTTAATATATTTTGGTGCTCCTATATTGGGTGCATATATGTTTATCAAGGTTATATCTTCCTGTTGGATAGATCCTTTCAATATTATGAAGTGGCCTTCTTTGTCTCTAGTTATGGCCTTCATTTTGAAGTCTATTTTATCAGATATAAGTATTGCTACCCCAGCTTTTTTTTCTTTTCCGTTTGCTTGAAAGATTTTTTCCATCCCTTCACTTTCAATCTATGTGAGTCTTTTGTTGTGAGGTGGGTCTCTTGTAAACAACATATAGATGAGTCATGCTTTCTTATCCAATCAGCTACTCTGTGTCTTTTTATGGGAGCATTCAATCCATTTACATTTAAGGTGATTATTGATATGTACTTATTTATTGCCATTTGTGTTTAGTGTG